CCAGGCGGGTTTTGAATGTCTCCAGAGAGGGAGACTCCACAACCTCCCTGGGCAGCCTGTTCCAGTGTTCTGTCACCCTGTTCCAGTGTTCTGTCACCCAGCCTCCTTTGTAGGTGTAGGCCAAACCCCACCACATTGCAGTGATTTGTCCCCTTCCGGTATTGCCACGACACCTTATCTAAGTGTTCTGCTAATTTTTCTGGATTTTGCACTTGTTCAGGGGTGAAATTCCAAAGCACTGGAGGGGCCCACTGCTCCAGGTGCTTGCCCATACGATCCCATACACCCCACCACTCATGACTTGTGACTGTCCAGCCTTGGGGAAGATCACTTGGTGGTATTCTTTGATAATAACCTCAGACAAGACCCAAGCCCGACCCTGCTTAGCTTCCGAGATCAGATGAGACCGAGCATTCTCTGGGTATAGAGTATATCATAGAATAACATAGAATAGCATAGTGTAGCACAGTGTAGTATAGCATAGTACAGTATAGACGTGATGGCCATCCAGGACACTCTGCGATATTCCTGATAATCCAGTCTTGAACTCCACTGCTAAATCCTGACATACAGTTCTTCTCCACTAATCTAAGTCATACAGACATCTAAACAGGCAGACACTCCTGGGAGTCCAGAAAAAGCACTGCCTTCTCTCTGTGATTTACATGAGCTTTATAGGCCTTGTTTCAAAAGATGCAATGGAATCAGCTAAACTAATCCTTTAAGAAACAAGAGTATGTGACTGCGTGGATACTTACATGTACAAAACCAAGCCTCAAAAAACGCTTTGCAAATTACCAGAATTGCAGCTGTGTATTAGTCATATTTTCATAAGGCTAGGTTTTTCTTACAGTTTTAGATTCAGTGGATTTTCTTCTAGTCCTTTCTACTTTCAGTAAAACTGGCAATGGTTTAATTCAGCCAGCAATGGGTGAGCCAGTAATTGAACTAGGATGACTGTCTTGGAGACTGGACTCTTTAGTAATCATATTTCATAGGAATTAAATAGTTTTTCAGTATGTAATAAGCAAGTTAATGAAGTGACAATGTGCTACTCAACATGGTGTTTTCCACCACGAAGCTTAACACCTAACCTCATTGGATACACTGAAAGCAGCCTAAAAGACATTGTTTTACAATCCTGTGTTTTATCTCTGCCAGCTTGACCACAGTGTTTAAGTGCCCTCAGAGATAATTAATTCTCAAAGACAATTCTACTCAAGCAGGAACATTTCCTTTTCACTAATGGAAAATATGTATTTTCTCACTCAGCTGAGACTCAAAACAGAAGACAGGAAAACTTTGTAGCTAGTGGAAAACAGATGGAATTTTCACAGGTTTGGATATAGAGGAACAAATCAACCACTCAGACACATTTCCAAGTATTTTTCAATTTGGTGTGCTGACAACAGATTTTTTTTCCTTGACAAATAAAAGGACCACTGAGAAGTCTTTACCATATAACTTTCAGTGGTTTTCAGACTGTAGTTCTGTAATGAAAATTGCCATTTTACTGTTATCAAATCAATGAAATTAACACAATTTAATATGTCTGCATCAAATATTTAAATTAAATGAGAACCCAACATGAAAAAACCATAGCAGTAGTTCACACCACTGCTGTGTGATTTGTTTTTTGTATGAGGATTTTCTCCTTGTTTGCAATTTTCTTTCTTTACAATTGCCCTACAAAAATACATTCCTTTGCTTCATTTGCTGATAAAAATGCATGTATTTAACATATTCTTTTTTTTTCCTTGCCCCATTCCTCCTTTCTTTTGATGAATTTCAGTTTCCTGGGGTTTAGACTGGAATCTTAAAAAGACACTTTGATTTCTGCATCCTTAGAAAATTCCACTATATAGTGCTTTCCACTAGGATGGTTTTAGATTTGGGCACTATGTATCACGTGAAGGATGATGAGGGTGTGGTTCAAAATTATACATTTATTTTAACGCTTATTGCTGACATATTCTTACTTGAAGAGTGAATGTAGATGTATATTGCAAAACAATGTCCTTAGATGCAGATAGTTGCAAATAAGCTTTACACGTGTTTGTAAATCATTAATACTGCTGTAGCACTGAGAACATTCTGTGCAGTGAAGGTGATTGCAAGTTTACTGTGAATACTTCAATAACATTAAAAAGTCGCACAGCAAAACTGCACACTTTTCAGCCATGACCCTTTATGCTGACAAAAATGCAATTTGGTGCTTTGGCAGAGAAGGGCTGGTTGTGCTTCACTGCAGCTGCACTGGCATTTCATTAGAGAACAGCAGCACAGATGACAGCCTAGAGATGCAGCAGAAAATGGTCAATAAAACAACCACTTTATTTCAAGATGCCACCAGTAAATGCCCTGAATATGCCTTCTGTCTAGACTATGCTTTATGTTAAGTCAGAGTAATTCTAGTTCTGAGTTGTAAAAAGCAAAATCAAACTAAACATGACATGACTCCTCATGTTATAGTGACGCAACTCTTTCTTGTCACTGCCCTATCAACTAGCAATATTGTGGCAATTCAGGAAACCTAAAATATGAATGGGATCTGCTTGTCTTGTTGGCAAGTATATCGACTCATACTGACATTGATTCGTAGCCTTTTCTAAGAACTAGAGGCAGAGCAGTTTTGCAATCAGGTGGTTGCAGTATTTACAGTATTCAGTCTTTATTTTTATCTTGAATCAAGCCCTATTTAATTGCAAATTCAAGCTTTTGAAGCTTTCAGCCAACATTATATATTTTTCTCTCAAGAAAAAGTTCAACACTCACAATCTCATGCAGGTTCTTCTTTTTGGGAAGAAAATTAAAAAGATCATTATTCTTTATCTACCAAATCTTGAGCAAACAGTTCAGCACAGCAGAATAAAGCTCAAAAAATGTTACAATCACATGGAGATACAAACACTGATAGATGGGGATATAAGAAAAAGAAATTGATATAGAGTTACTCAAAACAAGTATGATTTTACAGTTTAGGCAGTTCAGTGGCTATCATAACCAGTATAAACCAGGAAGATACAGTAGAAGAAAGTATGAAAAGTATTTTTGAAATTCAGTTAAGTCAAATCAATGGGCAGAATATATTAATTCAAAGTCTTAATTTTGAGTCTAAGAAGACTGAAAGCAGATGATTTCTTTAAAAGTTCCCCCTGAGGAAGTCAGGCCTTCCCTAGTCCTACATTAGTGCTACCTTAGACCAAAGATTTAACCCTGCTTCTGTCCTCACAGAAACACAGAATCACAGAACCCTTAGGGTTACAGAGGAATATGTCCCTGTGGGTTTGGAATGTCTCCAGAGGAGGGGACTCTGCAACCCACCCTGTACAGCCTGTTCTAGTGCTCTGCCCCCCTCAATGGAAAGAAGTTCTTCCTCATGTTGAGGTGAAACTTCTTGTGTTTTAGTTTATGGTCATTGCTCCTCATCCTGTCGCTGGGCAGCACTGGAAAGAGTCTCACACCATCCTCCTGGCACCATTATTTGAGATACTGATCTGGATTAATGAGATTCTATCTCAATTTGCTCTTCTTTAGACTAAAAAGGCCCAGCTCCTGCAATCTCTCCTCATAAGAGAGATCATCCAGATCAGCCTCGTGGCCTCTGCAGGACCCTCTACAGTAGTTCCTTGCCTTTCTTGCACTGAAGAGCACAGAACTGGGCATTAGAATCCTTAGTCATTAGAATTAACACTCCCTATCTTGGATTCAGATATGGAACAATCTAATGAAAAACAAGATATGGTTTACATTTCAAAATATGGTTTACATTCTGGTTTGTTGTAGAGAATCATGTCTTGACACCATATAATGATTTTTCCATCAAGTGTCCTCAAACATTCAAGAATAATTTAGTTTAATTTTATATGATTTATTACATCTCAAGCCACTCAAGTATTGTATCAAAAAAATTATTTTTTTTTTTTGTTCCTAACTGAGCTTACTGTGAAATTCTGGTGACTAAAAAAAAAAAAAAAAACCTTGCTAATTTCCTATAACTTATCCAAATCTGATAACATACAAAAAAATACACATATTTGGTAATTTTGCCATGGTTTTAAGGTAGAAAGTAAGGTAACATATTTCATGACTTCTGAGAAATTAAAGCAACCTTTATTTGATTATAAAATATTGGACTTTAACAGCACACAGAACTTCTGAAGATTTAAGATTATATTAACTCATTAAACAGTTTGTAATGCAGATGACTCACATTACCCAATCTTTATCAAAATCTAGTCTCTGAATAAAACATGATGTTCCTGGAAAAAAATAATCCTTTTATTTTCTTTTTTTTTCAGTGAAATAAAAGTTCAACGTACAATCAATATAACATTGAAGAATGTTTCTTTTTTTAGCATTATTATTTCTAAAAAGAATTTAATAATAAAGAATTTGACATATATTCTTTTTTGGAATATAACCTTCAATGAATGCATTCTATGATTAAAGTGCATCATTAAAGTTATATTAAAAGACATTTTTAGGACATTGTAAAATAACTTTTTGACAGATGAAAAATGATTGAGAACTGTACCTATGCTGCCATAACAGTGAAGTCATAATTATATGTACTGTGTTTTATTCTGTTGTACCACATGTGAACTGGACAATTAGGTAAGTGAAAACATTAATTTTCCTTTCTCCTTGCTATGCAGTGAGTGGTATTGCCTAAAATTAGAAGTGCTATTAACAGCTTCATGTGGTGATTCACTGTCACTTTTGAAACTATTTGACAGTAATTCATGTATTCAATGCAATTTTATTTCTGACTTGAAAATACATGAATAGACAATGGCTTATTCCTCTTTCATGACTGGTAACATGCAGTTATCAAAAGCATTTTCTATTTACATGGCATAAAGGAGGAGTGCTTGCAGACAAATACATTCCTTTTACAATACAAAACAATTAAAAAGCCACCAAAACAAATCCACATACCACCCTCTGTCCCCTGGAAGCTGTTAATTGTTAGTTGTTTTTGTTTTAGTTTTTTTTTCACTGAAAGAAAGATTTATATTGCATTGGAAATTTATAGACTTCTTGTATTACCAAGTAGTACCAAGATGCTGGAGAACACAAATCAAAAGATCTAAATGGATGATATCTGTCAAAATTATAGCAATTTTTTGTTTCTTCTGTATTGGCCATCACATTTTCTAGATTTCTAAATTGTCTCATTTTTAATAATCAATATTTCTAAAGAATTCTGTTTCTACAATCTATACCAGAATATTCTTACAACCAAATGCAGTTTCAACCTTCAGGCATGTAACACCTCATAAAACACTTTGACTTCTTGCAGCTCGCCACGATTGCCTCAGGGGCAAGATCTGGCGGAAACACAACTCACATTTGATAAGAACACTTCTAAAATTTGGTGGGGTTTTTTCCTAAATTTCTCACCTAGTCCATAAAAAATATCTCTTTTTCCAGCTCCACCACAAGTTTTAAGACTGCACTCTGAAATCTCACTGACAGCTGAGGACAGACCAGCAGTGCAGTATAGCCAAGACTTCAGCAACTGCAATGCTTTTTCAGCGCAAACTCCTCACCATGGGTAAATGCTTACAGGTGCTTCTGCTAAGCCACTGAGATCCTATCAGAAGGAGCTGATTTCCATCATTGTTTGTAAAGTACTTATTGTATAAAGCACTCCTTAATGGCTTTTTCTTTTCGTCTCTCTCCCCCTTCCCCCCCAACTAAAAATGTTATTATATCATATGTTAAAGGAAGTGATAATTGCTTTGGCTATTAATGATCATCACTAGAAATTTTCTTCCTCTATTGTTTGCTTCATTTTTTTATATATATTAAAGTATTAAATTCTGAACTCCAGTATATTCTTTTAGCAAGTAGGTGAAGATAGATTTGTCTTTCAAAGCTCTGAGATTAACTTTTTTTGAACACTGTGTTTCCTCAAGTTTAATTTGACACTAAAACAAAGCTTACCTTTTAGAAGAGATATGCTAAATTCTTAGCAGTTATACTATTGTTCTGCAAAGATGTACTCAGTGGAGTCAGCCTTCCCTTTATTCATAAAGGGAAGTACTTGAATAAGCATGGGGTATCTTTAGCAACAGCCTATTTGGAGCATAGTGAGGACACCTGGTCTTTGATCCTGATACCATGAATGCAATTTGTCACACAGGGGATAGTACTCCTCTTGTCCTTCCCAGTTTCCACCTTACTCTGTTTCCTTTCTTCTGGAAGTTAATTCTTTCCCTGAGGTGAGAATAGGACCTAAAGAGGCCATGCAGAAGTATTTTCTGGAAAAAAAGCAGTGAGCTTAAATTTAGTTGGTTTTCACAGTTCAGAGATTCTGTCTAGCATTTATTAGCATATCATAAGATAAGGAATTCTGGTTTACTGATAGGTTTGCTTGAAACCTTGATCTCATTTTCTGCATTGCACAGTAGCAGGGTTGTATAAACATATGGCCCTTTGGTCTAGTTTAGTCCAATTAGGCTTACATAGCACTAAACCATTAGCTTCTAGACCTCAATCGTCTAACTAAATTTAATAACTAAGATGTTTTATCAGTTTTTGTTATATGAAGAGAATTGTACAGCTTGCATGTTGGTGATACGAGTGTAGCAAATTGCACAACCATGTGATGCAGTACCTTTTTCACATATTCTGCCTTCAATGAATGCTCCATATGACTTCAAATGTCTGCCATTTTTTTAAAGCATTTTGCCTCTGCAGCCGTACACTAGCCTCCAAATGACCATGTTTTATTACAAATATTATATACATTACCAGTAACTGTTTAAAGTATAAAAATTTGATATATTATCATTCATCAAAAATAAAACAAAAAGGCCACAATCATGGTGGGAAATAAAGCTCTCTCTTTCTCAAGGACAGAAAGATCAGGTCCATAGTTTGTAAGTCAGTGAAGTATGCAGAGCACTTTAGGATTCAAAGCATTAAAAAGAGCCTATAGAAAATAGGTCATAATTGTCACGTCCACCTACAAGAAGGGCTGGAAGGAGGATCTTGGAAATTACAGATTTGTAGATTTGATTTTGGTGCTGGGGAAGGTTATGGAGCAGATAATCTTGAGAGCAACCTATGCAGGGCAACCGGTTGATCAGGCATGGGTTTATGTTAAGGCACATCCTACTTAACTAATCTGATCTCCTTCTGTGGCAGGATGCATGCTTAGTGGATAAAGGCAGTGGATGTTCTGGAGGTTGTAGGAAGCTGAGTGTCAGTCTCTTCTCCCAGTTAACAAGTGATAGAACAAGAGGAAACAGCCTCAAGTTGCACCAGGGAAGGTTTAGTCTGGATATTAGAAAAAGTTTCTTCTTTGAAAGGGCTGTCAAGCATTTGAACAGGCTGTCCAGGAAAATGGTTGAGTCACCCTCCCTGGAGATACTCAGAAGTTATGTAGACATAGCAGTTAGGGACATGGTTTAGTGGTGGACTTGGCAGTGTTAGGCCTACAGTTGGGCTCTTAAAGGTCTTAAAATTACCTTCAAGGTCTTTTCCAACCTGATTCTATGATGTGCTCTTTCAATCAGAGAATCCATGATGTGAATACATAGGACTTCAAGACACAGAAACTAATGTTGTATTCTTGTAAGCACAGAAACAACTTGAAAATATCATTTCTTACCATAGCTTTCACTAGGTTTTGAACTGTAACAGTGAGATCCTGCGACAGTGAAAGCCACCGCTAACAACAGTGTTGGGCTGCAAACCCTGTCAGACAACCCTAGAAGGGCAAAACACCCCTCCATTCACAGGCCACACGTTGTCCATATTTTAGTCCAGTAGTAGTTTGCAGTTAAAGTATATAGCATCTAAATGTCTTCATATGAGAATTTGTATGATGTTTATGCTTGTCTTAATTTTTGAGCAACTAACATTTGGTAGATTCAATTTATTCCAGATAAAGGCAAACCAAATAATTTCCTGTCACTGCGTCATGAACTATTGATGCCTATTAAATACGGGCGTTTAATCATAGAGGAGAATGATGCTGTTTCATATTCCAAGACAATCTGGGGGGAAGGAAAAGAATGTAAGCCTATATGTATATTTTGATGCTTTCAGTAGTTTTAATTAAATTTACAGGACTTTAAACTTTCTCTCTATAGTTGAGGAGCATCTCTAATAAAGATAAAATTCTGCAAATATGTTTCTTAAAAAAGGTATTTATCTAACCACTCTGTGTAAGTATCTGGGAAATGCTAAGCTCTCTCAGCTCCCTCCCAGCCTATATTTCAATGCAATTCTTTAGCTAAAAAGAAAGAAAATCTAACACCCACCCCCCCAAAAACCAAGTTGGTGGTCTATTACATATATGCATATTAACTTTTTTCAGGTATTCAAAGATATCTGTACCTCAACATCTCTTATTTTAAGTGACTACAGTTAATTCCTTGTATTTGTTATGGGTTCAGCTGTAGCAGTTATTTTTCTCCTTCCTAGTAGCTGGTGCAGTGCTGTGTTTTCAACTTTAGTCTGAGAACAATGCTGATAACACACCTATGGTTTTAGTTGTTGCTAAGTAATGCTTATCCTGATCACAGACTTGTCAGTCTCATGCTCTGCCAGTGAGGAGTGGCACAGGAAGCCAGGAGGAAGCAGAGACAAGACACCTGACCCAAACTAGCCAAAGGGGCATTCCTTACCGTAGTACGTCGTGCCTATTATAGTAACTAGGGGGAGTCACCTGGAAGGCCCAGATCACTGCTCTGGTCTGGCTGGGTATCGGTCAGCAGGTGGTGAAAATTATATTGTGCATCATTTGTGCTTACTGTTTTCTTCTCCTTTCCCCCTTTTAATTTTAGAATCTCTCCCCTTGTTATTTCCATTATCATTATTATTACTGATGGTAGCAGTAGTAGTTTTGTATTATACCTTAGTTACCGGACTGTTCTTATCTCAATCCATGGGAGTTACATTCTTTTGATTCTCCTTCCTATTCCTTCAGGATTTGGAGGGAGTGAAAGGAGGGGGTGTGAGCAAGTGGTTGTGTGGTTCTGATTAGCCAGCTGGGCTTAAACCATGACAAATATATATATATATGTGTGTGTGTGTGTGTGTGCAGTTCATATATAACTTTACAAAGCACATTCATATTTATGAAAACAAGAATTACCTGGGAAAAGTGGGAAAGCCCAGTGCCAAACTTAAGCCTTTTTATTCATAATATATTTATCCAAATGTCATTTTTTCCAGTGTCATTATTAAAAAACCCCACAAAATTAAAAAACAAAAACAAGTTTAGGATATAATTATACAGAAAATAAGGCTTGGAAAGAATTTTTCTAATTAATAGCCAGAACCTAGGGAGATCAGAGAGTAAAATTTAAAATGATCTTGAAGCAGTCTCAGAGTTACTGATCTGATTCCACTACAACACATTTCCAGTACTGCTATTCTTTGTGAGTCTTATGGGTATAATAATGCTGTCCTACATGAGCTATATTGGTTAAGACAAAAATAAAAAAACTGAATACATTTTGTCTTACATTTTTTAGTACCATATTGCCCTTTAATATTGTGTAGGAAGGATTTTTTTTTCCTGTCATTTGTTACATACTTGCGAAAGAAGGAATGATTGAAAGTGGGAAGCTTTTGACAATTTTCAGGTAGGCTTATTCTTTCATAAGCTGTGCATCCAGTATTCTTACATAAACCTAAGATAGCTTTTCTTGTCAGGACAACCCCAAAAATAAAGATAACAATGACTTCATTTTCACCTGTCAGTTTTCCTACTTAGAGGATAAAAAATATATTTACTAGCTAACAAACCTACTGCACAAGATAGTAGGATGAACTTGTTGACAAGCTACATTCTGGAAGCTTAGTAAAGAGCAAACATCTACTTAAATGTGCAATGCATGTGGATTTTCTATAAAATTGCATATATATCAGAAGTCCTTACTTACATTTTGGAAATAAATAGTTGCTCAAATTTGAAGGTCTCAATCTTAGCTAAACACAAAAGTAGAGACGAATTCCAGAGCTCCCAGGCACCTGCGAAAATCACGACATCCTGAAAGCTCACAAGTCTGCTTCTCTGTGCAATACTAGCACACGTTCACAGAATGCACAATAACATCCCATCATACTGCTGATGGAGAAGAATGTGCTGGAAACTGTTCCCTTATGTGTAGGATGCTCATCCAAAGAGTGGGAGATGCTGGAAGATGCTCTCCTCCTGCTTTAGCTAATGCAGTTCCCTATGAAGGATGTAAGACTGATCAGGTTAGTGACAGAAAATACAAGACACTTAGTGGCTATATTGTCTCTTAAAGACCTACACATAAGTCCTAATTAGTATTTTAAAATGTTGCAGTGTTACTCAGTGTTTCCAATAGATCTTTAGGTTCCCTTGAGCTACACAGTGTATATGAGAAGTCATTGCCTGTGCTTATGAAGAAGCGTGAAACATAGTGTGCAACATCATCAGTTCTCTCTATCAAAGAAGTTCTCTGCTTTTAATGGGTTATCCCTTGTCATACCCCCTGGTGCTTGTCATTGAATTCTTTGCACTGTTTGATGTTCTGTATGGTACAAGTATTAAAGCACACCATACACTTCAAATCATAGCAAAAACTTGGATATATTATTTTCTGAGTCTGCACTATGATCTAAGAGAATGGAAATGTTTAACTCCATGTGAAACCATCTTTAAAAACCCTGTCTGGAATTTTATTCAGCTTATGTACATGAAATTTAAAAAGATTTTCAAAGCAATGTAGTGGAAATGCAGCATCTATTCTCAACAAAAAAAAAGGTGAATATCTTCAAAAAAGCTAGACTAGTCAAACAGAAGTCACTATGTAAGGTTAACTTTAACAAAATCAATTTCATTATTTTTCTGTGTATGTGCCAAAAAGACTGCATGCAACTTCATTTGTACGTATTTATAAAAACATGTATAGGTATTACAATATTTTAAAATCTCACAAAGTTTATATGAAATAGAATTCCATTAAGAAGGAAACTAAAAGAGATTCTAGATTTCAATTACATTCAAAGACTATTACATTCACATATAAATATATTCCAGTCTCAGATTGTAATGTTTCCTATCAACATGCCATCATTTTATACTCTGATCCACTATGAAAAAATGTTGTCAGTGTATTTTTTAATGCATTATAATTTCATATTTGTAATTATACAGTAAGTATAACATTGTGATAGTAAGACTGAGTTGGTTCTGCCAGTGGAGATCATTTATGGCATACATCCCCACCATGCTAGTCCTCTATAATGAAAACATTTGACTCTGATTTGCTGTTGTCCTGGTTTTGTCTGGGATAGAGATAATTTACTTCCCAGTAGCTGGTACAGTGCTGTGGTTTGGCTTTAGTCTGAGAACAATGCTGATAACACACCAATGTTTTATTTGTTGCTCAGTAATACTCACTCCGATCGAGGACTTTTCAGTCTCTCATGCTCTGTCAGTGAGGAGGAAGGAGGAAGCAGACAGGACACCTGACCTGAACTAGCCAAAGTTCAGGTCATGCCCAGTATATAAACTGGGGGAGTTGGCCTGAAGATACTGACCCATGCTTGGGGTCAGGCTGGGTATCACTTGTTTATTGGGATTTTTTTCCTTTCCCCTTTTAGTTTTATATCCTTTCCCCTTGTCATTTCCTTTATCATTATTAATTTTTATTAGTAGTATTACAATTTTTAGTATATTGTTCCTTAGTCATTAAACTATTTTTACCTCAACCCACAGGTTTTTCATTTTTTTAATTCTCCTCCTTTTCCCACCAGGGTGGCGGAAAAAATGGGAGGTGAGTGAGCAGCTGTGTGGTACTTAGTTGTCAGCTGGGTTTAAACCATGACCGCTATTTATATTTTCTTCCAATATAACTCATTCTTATGTCTTGGGAAATACTTATATTTTAAGTGTCCTCATTTGTTCAGAGGATCTACCAAGGAATATTTTTTATTATAGTCTTCCTATTATCCCTACTGTTCAATCTCCATTCTACCTTAGCTTACTCAAGAATAATTAATATTTCCATCAGGTTTTATTGAGAGAGAGCTATTCATTGGAAAGTTCTAGTTTGTAATGCTACAAGCACCTCCACACTTGTATCTCCTGATTAGAAGAGGATCCAGTTCTGCTGTGCCTCATAAGAGCATATAAAATGATTCTGCTAGCAGCTCAAATCAGTTTTAGTTTAATGATTCCAGAGACCTAGCTTTTCCCTGTGTGGTCTATACCACCATAAATGCCAGGAATCAAATCCCCCTTCTTATTTACCCAACTAGATTATAAAGTCGGTAAATTTGAGTAGCCTAGAATAAGAATTTGGCCTGGCTTTTTTAAGATGATTGAAAAAGGGTAAAACACAATTTGTTTAGACTCTTAAGATAAGCTTTATGAATATATGGAGAACTTTAGACGAAACAACATTCTTACACAGTTCATACTCAATCCCAAAATATTTTCGTAGTTCCAGCCTTTGCTGGATTGATCTACTTGCATCTTAGATGTAAGAGCTCAGAAAAATAAGGGTTTCTGGTCTAAATGTAGCATGAAAAACATGAACTTGTTTGCAGTCTCATCCTTTCTAAATTAATAGCAACATAATATTTAAAAAAAATATTGGTTATTATGTAAAGGCGTAAACTCTAGTATTTTATATTCATATTGACAGTATTCCCTTAATAAGTAGTTATAGATCACAAAACTTTTATTACAAATTGCTTTAAAGTTTAGTGCATATATAAACTTTTAGCAGAAATTACATATCAATGTAAATGAATTAAGGTTTTGATCCAATGTTCTGTGAAGCCAATGTAGTCTTCATGTCCATAATATACTTGTGATGGCTATTTGATTATAAAAGGCTCTCTTTTATACTCAGAAGGAAACTCTCTTCCTAACTTGATTTATATTTGCTACAGTTAAATAGAAAGTAGCTAATGGACGTTATTGTGAAAAGGCATGTCATTAACATGTTCTTTCAAACTTCAGGTCTTTGAGCAGTTAAAGAATGTGGATAAACAGATTTTATCTAAACTCAGTAACAATGTATATCAGACAAAAAAAAAAAAAAAAAACCCAGAACCATGTAGGCAACATTAAAGAAATTGTAGTTCAGAACAGGAAAATTAAACATTGAGAATCTGAGGTCATTTTCTTACATTTCATTGTAAGAAAAAAAATGTTCTTTTGCAGGTTTTTTCCAATATAAGCTTATGAACTGAACATTTAGAGCATTTAGTCTTCTCTCAGGCTGGTAGGGAATATTAGCAAATACAGTTACACTAACTGAATGTTTTAAGGTTTGCTGGTATGTGTCTCTCCATCTTTGTGCCTCTCCTTGACTTTCTCATGTTTAGAAGCAAAAACCACACACATAGGTGGCTCTATTTGCCTCTTCCTCTTGCCACTAAAATAATATACTATTATTATACTACCAATAAAAGGATGTCAAATACATCCTTTACAGTTTCCACCTAAGTGAATTTTGTCTAGCTTGTTCAAATTGAACTAAACAAAAAGCACGCGCACAAAGCCTTCTAGCTAAATCTCTGCCTGCTCATTATAGTAATCTTTAGCCCTGTCCAGAGCTTTTTAATTCTGCCTGTCTCCTTCTCTTTACAACTGCTGGATATTCTGCCCTGCTTACTAGATACTCTTTTCTGCTTTTCTTTCTGATTCTGCTGGAAGGCACTAACGTTCATCATCTTTTTGCCTACACTGCTCATGCTGGGATGAAGTTATGAACTCCACTTTCTTCACAGCAGCGTGTGTGATGCTGTGCTGTGCATTTATAGCTAAAACGTGGCTGATAACACACCACTGTGCTGCTGAGCAGTGCTAGCACAGCAGCAATGCCTTGCTTCTCTCTTCACTGCCCTGCCCCACAAAAGCAAGTGAGCTGGGAATGAGTAAGAAGCTGGGAGGGGACACAGCTGGGACAGCTGACCCCAACTGACCAAAGGGATGTTCCATACCATAATAACACTGTGCACAGCAGTAAAAGCTGGGAGGAAGAAGGAAGAAGTGAGGGACATTCATGGTTATGGCATTTACTTTCCCAAACACCCATCAGTCATGCTCTGGTCCTGGTTCTCAGGAACCAGACAGACATCTGTCTGCTGATAGCAAACAGTTTCCAGTCTGGATTTGTGTCACTGTCTGACACAATTTATCTTCTGTGTCTACATGAAATATATGGAAATGTCCCATTATTGCCTTTTTTCTGTCATGGTTATGCCCAGCCAGTAACTCAGAAGCATGCAGCTGCTTGCTCACTCTGCCTCCCTTCTTCCTTCCCCCACTGGATGGGGAGGAGAATCAAAAGAATGCAACTCCCACACATTGAGATAAGAGCAGTCCAGTAAGGTATAACACAAAACTGCTACTGCTACCACCAATAATAATAATGATAACGGAAATAACAAGGGGAGAGAGTACAATTGCTCATCACCCACTGACCGATACTCAGCCCAACCCAAGCAGCTATCTGAGCCTTCTGGGTGACTCCCCCCAGTTTCTATACTGGGCATGATGTGCTCTGGTTTGGAATATCCCTTTGGCTAGTTCGGGTCAGGTGTCCCATCTCTGCTTCCTCCAGTCTTCCTGTGCTTCCTCACTGGCAGAGCATGAGACTGAAAAGTCCTTGGTCAGGGTAAACATTACTTAGCAACAATTAAAAACATTGGTGTGTTATCAGCATTGTTCTCAGACTAAAGTTGAAAACACACCACTGGATCGGCTACTAAGATGGAGAAAAACAGCTGTTACAGGTGAACCCAGGACATCAGGATAAGCAAAAAAAAAAAAAAAAAAAAATTCTTCCAATTACCACTTCTGTAGCACCTTCTGATTCCTTCTGATCATTTTAGTATTCATGCCCCATTCCTGTTTTATTTTGAATTCACCTTCCTGTACTAGAGCTGATCAGAGCCTAAAATGAAGTCTTATCAGTGATTTTTGCAATACCATTAAAACTTCTGCTTCACATACTTTCACTAGTACACCCCAATTTTCTTTTAATCTTTTTCACCATATTATACTGGCAGATGAATGTCATCTATACATTGAAAAGTACCATGTAGCTTTTCTTCTACCTGGTGAGATCTTAAGTAATATGAGACATTTCATTTAGCTGATATGCCGCCTTGCTTCTGTATAACTGAATTCTACTCTAGCTCTTTTACTTCCTCATTGCTTCTCTTATGGTATGGTGTTTATCTCAGC